ACTGGTCTGTGCAAGTTGCTCTGCGCAAGTTGCTCTGCGCAAACTGGTCTGTGCAACTTGCTCTGCGCAAGTTGCTCTGCGCAAGTTGCTTTATGCAAGTTGCTCCGTGCAGCTTGCGAAGCCCGCCCGCGGACCAGGGGGAATCGAACCCACGACCCGCCGGTCCCGGGAGCAGGCGCGCGAACCACGAGACAACTCCCGAGGACCACTTCGAACAACAAAAGACGCAAAAAACCTTGGTTTTTGAACCTCGACCACGCCGATCCCCGCAGAGGGTCGCGCGGGAACCGCAGAAATCGTTAAAAAAAAACGAGCTTTTGCACCTCGACCGCGCCGATCCAAAAAAAAACCTTGAGTTTTTGCACCACGCCGATCCCCGCAGAGGGTCCATGTTCAAAATCGCAAAAAAACCCCAAGTTTTTACACCTCAAGCACGCCGATCCCCGCAGAGGGTCGCGCGGGAACCGCAGAAATCGTAAAAAAACAACAACGAGTTTTTGCACCTCGACCACGCCGATCCAAAAAAACCTCGAGGTTTTGCACCTCGACCACGCCGATCCCCGCAGAGCGCGGGCACCGCAGAAATCGCAAAACACCTCGAGTTTTTGCACCTCGACCGCAGAGGGTCGCGCGAGCATGTTCAATATCGCAAAAACCTCGAGTTTTTGCACCTCGACCACGCCGATCCCCGCAGAGGGCCGATTTTCGTGTAGTGTCGTCGGCACTACCCCGCCGCCCTCAGAAGAGATTTTATCTCCTCGCAAGTCAATTGCACTTGACTCCTTGCACTTGCAACTTGCACTTGACTCCTTGCACTTGCAACTTGCACCTGACTCCATGCACTTGCAACTTGCGCTTGACTCCTGGCACTTGCAACTTGCACTTGACTCCTTGCACTTGCAACTTGCACTTGACTCCATGCACTTGCAACTTGCACTTGACTTCATGGACTTGGCTCCTTGCACTTGCTCCTTGCACTTGCAACTTGCACCTAACTCCGCGCACTTGCAACTTGCACTTGACTCCATGCACTTGGCTCCTTGCAACTTGCCATGGCTCTCATGACTCCTTGCAATGACTCCTTGCAATGACTCCTTGCAATGACTCCTTGCCATGACTCCTTGCAATGACTCGTTGCAATGACTCCTTGCAATGACTCCTTGCAATGACTCCTTGCCATGACTCCTTGCCATGACTCCTTGCCATGACTCCTTGCCATGACTCCTTGCAATGACTCCTTGCAATGACTCCTTGCAATGAGTCCTTGCAATGACTCCTTGCAATGAGTCCTTGCAATGACTCCTTGCAATGACTTTCATGAGAACAAATCAAGTGAACCCAGCGGAAGAACCCTTCGCCATGCTTTCGGGAAAGCTCTCAACCGTAAAAGCCCGACGCCTGAGCCCTGTATGAACCCTGAAAGTCCTAAACCCTGAAAACCCTACTCCCCACAAACCCTCAACTTAACCTTGAGAAAAACTAAACTCTATCCCTAAAATTCCGGAACCTAAACCTTAAAAACTCCAGCCCCAAACGTAAGCCCTAAAAACCATAAACCATAAAATCCGAAGCCTAAACCCAGAAACCCGAAACCTATATCCTCAAAACCCTTAAAGCCTCTGAACTCTGAAAATCTCTAAGCTCTAAAGCCTTAAGCCATACAACCCTAAACTCAAAAATCCAGCCCATAAAAGCCCGAAACCTAAACCCTAAAAACCTTAAACCCTAAACCCTAAAAACCCAATGTAGACCCAATTTCCCGAAACCCTGAACCCTAAACACCCTAAGCGCTAAACTTAAACCCAAAAAGCCCGAAACCTAAACCGAAAAAACAAGAACCTAACCGCTGCAAATCCTAACCCCTAAAACTTTTTACCCTAAAAGAATTAAACCTAGACCAAACAGATTAAGCCGTGGAAGCGGCAAACCCTTGAAAACCCGAACCTCAAACTCTAAAGGCCGAAAACCTAAACCCTAAAAACCCGAACCCCTAAACCCTCAAAAGCCATACGCCCGAAACCTCAGCCCGAAAAGCCCTAAACCGTAAACCAAAATCTCAGCCCTAAAGCCCCTTAACCTTTAACCTAAGCCCTAACAACCCTCAACCCTAAGCTTAAGCCGTAAAAAACGAAACCCAAGCCCTAAAACCTAACCTAAAACCTTGAAACCCAGAGCCCCAAAACCATAAAAGCGCAAACCCTCAAAACTCGAAACCTGCCCAGCCTAAATGTAAACCCCAAAAGCCCTGAACCTAAACCCAAAAGCATTAAACTTCCTCAGCCCCAAACTCACTCAAATCGCACGAGCCCAACCTGGGTTTTGATCAGTGTTCTTTGGCGATGTTGCAAAATGCGGAAACACCGGCGCATTGCCACCCATGCCAGGAAATCTCGAAAATATACGGCCTATAGTCATCTTGCTCTTACTTTTCTAGACGTTCTTTCGTTCTTGCTTTCCGTACTTCTTTCTATCTTTGGTAATTCCGTTTTTTGTGTTTGTCTTTCTTTCTTTCTCGCTCTCTATCTCTCCCTCTCTCTCTCTCCCTCTCTCTCTCCCTCTCTCTCTCCCTCTCTCTCTCTCTCTCTCTCTCTCTCTCTCTCTCTCTCTCTCTCTCTCTCTCTCTCTCTCTCTCTCTTTCTGTTTTTATCACATATGGACCTCTTTATCTATCTAACTGTCTGTCTATCTGACTGTCTATCTGGCTATCTATCTGTGTATCTACCTGTACCTACCTAGCTATCCATCTCTCCATCCTTTATCTTTCACCTATTTATATGTCTATCTGTCTATCTATGTATCCATCCATCTATCCATCTAGTGCTACGCATCTTCCATTTCTCATCTCAACGTATCTGCAAATGCCCATTCCTGTTTTGGAGCGTGCGCTATCACCCTTTCGAACTTGCCAAATTTCTTAAACAAATCCACGCCAGCCCCTTGAAAATGGAAACGCGCTGTGAATACCAGCTTTGCTCACGCTTCTTAGCAGGCTGCGCAGAACAGGTTTTACTTGGGGAAGTTAACTGTTTCAGCAGATAGTGTGGCAATAGTCAAGCATTGCAGATTCAAGATGCCTAGGACCCTAGATCTGGAATCTTGAGCCCAGTCTGCCCCTCCCCCCAACCCGAAATGCGGTAAGTTTGGATTCAGGATTCAAGATCCCCAGCGCTCTAGGTCTGGAATCTTGAGTCCACCCTGGCCCCCCCTTCCCCAAAACGCTCTCGCGCTTATAACCGCTTTGGCTCAAGATTCAACATTCTCAGGACTCTAGATGTGGGAATCTTGAATCCACGACCCGCCTGGATGAAACGCTTTAAAGCGCTTGAAACCATTTTGGGGGGGGGGTCCAGACTGGATTCTAGATTCCAGATCTAGAGTCCTGGGAATCTTGAACCTTGAATCCAATAGCGCTTGTTAAGCGTTTTAAAGCATTTTGGGTGGATAGAACCACAGTCAACTGTGCAGATGCGGGCGTGATTTAGATGGTCAAAGTTGGAGTGCCTGAGAAGGGGGTGGGAATTCCTTTTCTTTGTGGAGGGGGGTCCTATATATTTGTATATACACATATCAATGTATTCTAATGCATATTTTGTACCTCCCCAACCAAATCAGTGTTTGCAGCGTTGTTTTGTGATTGTTGCCTCTTTTTCTTGCCCCCAAAAGCATTTAACGGTCCCAGCATCTTGACATTTGACTGTGGCGGTATCTGCACAAAACCAAAAAGCACTTCGGATTCTCAGCGCTCTCATTCTCAATCTTGAATCCATCACAAACCCTTTGCAGTGTTTTCCCTGTGCAAGGCTTGGATTCAAGATTCAATTCAGAATCGTGCAAATCTTGCATCTTGAGCCCAAAACATGCTTCAACGCGCTTGAACGGACTTTCTTTGATGCTGATCACGAAAGTAGCCTTGTGGAGCACCTTGAGTTGTCCTTGCGTTAGCTGGCTTCGAAGAGACGATCCGGGGCAGGCCCCGCGCGCAATGCATGAACCCCCCTCCCCCCTGGTTCGACTCCGCCTCCTCCTCCCCCCCCCAGCAAGGCCTGTCGCCGCTTCGCTCTTCTTATCACAGCCCCGCTGTTCGCAGAGCTTTGCTCGTGTGTTCGAGCCGGTCCACTCAGTCAAGTCACCGTCTGCTTTCTTCTGAAGTTGTTGTGGGACACTCGCTGCACGTCTAGCGGCTACTGTGTTCGGAGTTTACTGCGTCCTGGACTGCAACTGCTGCCGATATGTGCAGCCTCAATTCCCAAGATGGTGCAAATCCGGCGCGCCGTAATCCCGGTATCACAGCTTTCGTGTGGGCTTGCTACCTTTCGTGCCTTCTCCTGAAGTTCGTTTCAAACATGACTCAAACTTTGGACTACCACAATCAGCAGGGCTGAACCACTATGTTTTCTGCGTTTAGAGGTTCTTTTCGGCGCCACATATGCTACCCCTTGGAGTATTCACCTTTGCGTGCATTGCTCATTGGCATTGTCTGCAGGAAGTTTGTTGGCAAATTTGAGCATGTTCTTTCAATGCACCGGATTTCTGAACCCAGTACTGTTCTAGGCCAAACGCTTTGAAGCACGCCAAAGTTCTCAGGACACACATTTTGTATCCAAGGCTTGTACAGAAAGAAATGCTTCACACCACTCCAAAGCACTTTTTGTTGAGCTTTGCGGTTTTCAAGATTGAATATGAGAGTTCTGAGAATCTTAAATATTGAGTCCAGAAATGCCTTAAAGCGCTTTAACGCGGTTTAAGGCTGTAGTCTGGAACTAAGGGACATGTACATGAACAAGTAATATGGACAGCATCCTCATACCTGTGAAGAGATGGCCTTGTCAAGAGCTCCTAGCTGCAAACCGCCTCTGCGAACTCATCCGTTTGGGGGGGGGGGATGATTTGTGCTCATGGGAAACAACTCTATCAGGTGGGCTGTACTCCCAACAATCATCACAGCGGGTCAAACCATGAGCATTAGTGAGCCATTCTGTTATCAGACTCATGCCCGCAAGGCAATTCTGGTTGCTGCGACGCTTTCTCAATCACAAAAAGATAGGCAGGGCTGCGAATCTTGTTTCTCGTGGCTTTTGATTGATGGTTGACATGCGGAGGGAAGACTACGTCTGCAAGAATCATCCGCTTTTTGGAGCACCAGACTGCGAACCAGCAGGGTGATGTGAACCCGAGTCAGGGACACGGCTTGCTTACAGTGGGATTATTTGCATGCTGGGTCCTGCGGATAGTGTCAGGTTCAATCACCATCCTTGCCCTTCTTTCCGCCTGAAACTTAAGATGTCGATACAGCACGACCCCAGTCGAGGAAAGCTTGAAACAAGCGAGTGAACTCAGGAGCCTTTAAAGAATTTGTTGGCCTATGAGCTGAGCAAGAAGCATGTGGAACTTCATCCATTCTTTTCCCACCTCGAGCAGCTCGGCCTGGCACAGCGGGTGCCTGCAACAGTTGAATCTAATGAGATCTGTAACCTAAGGCAGGAAATGAGCCCCATCCTCGTCAAGCTTTGCGATACAGTTCTTCGAACGATTGACCTAGCTAGCCTCGTGCTGAGCTGGATGCAGCTAATGTGTCGAGATGTGCCCACCTAGATTTCGTTTGAGGCGAGGATATTGTGTTTCATCCTGGAGAAGAAGGGGAGAAGATGTACTTCGTCAAATGCGGGAACTTGGAGTACTCCTGCTCCGTTGCATACTTTAGAGCCTGCGGCTCATTCCGCCGACTTCCGACGCAGACGGGTGGGTTTGCCTTTGGCAATAGCCTTGCTGGCCTATGTTGTTTGTAAGGAGGCTTTCTTTTCTTTGTTTGGAATTGGTGTGTGCTTGTGGTTTCCTTTGGACACGTTCTTTGGCTTTTGCGGCGTTGTTGCAGCTTGTGGCTATCAAGCCCCCCAGCATCACCAGCAACACCTTTGCCGAGCCTGAGACCACCCTAAACCAGCAAGTAAACCCAGGAAAGCCTAGCTCCAAACCCATCAAATCCAAAGCCAGCCCCAAACGCACCCTAGTTGACAAACCCCCGTAATGTAGTCTGTCCTCTTCCTCCCAAGGTTTGGCAAAAGAACGCCTAATCCATGTTTGGCACCCAAAAACCCTACCTGGCCTCTTGGCCCCCCAACAAGATCAGGCAAATGAACAAGCACAATTTTAAATGAAAAAACACTATTGCCAACACTACCAATACCAATTCCCTTCATAGTCTTAAGGGTCGTTTTTTCCACAACCCAGCAATGTCTGTGTGATATGTGTAATCACAGCAACTATTTCCAATACGTACCAATGCACATGTCCTTAATAGTCTTGAGGGTCGCTTTTCCAAGAACCGAAGAAACAACTACACAAAACATCAATGTTCTTGTTGCATGTTGTCTAAGAAATAGGGTTTGACAAGCTCATAAAGGGTGCCCTTCGAAACCCGAAGCTGAAAGCGATGCGGGGAGTCAAAAAGGGCCGCCTCGATTCATGAAAACTAACGTCACCCATACGTGCCAGGTCCCCCCTCCAGGTCTCCCCTCCCCGTAGAACCTTCTAGCCACGCCAAGTCGGGGATATGATCGGTGAATGAAGCGTATCCTTCCGCAGGTACACGCTGCCAAATGGTGAGGTCTTGAAGCCTCGGCTGCGGGAAAAGGCCTATGCAAGTTGAGTGCCAAGAGTGCCTGCTGTGAACCCACGCCGCAACTTGGGACACCTCGAAGCCAGGCCTGGCTGGCGGAGGCAGTCCTTTGGACCACGTGGTGGCATCGTGGCGAGTTCAAGGCACAGGTTTAACAGGAGTTGTGCTGAATGCAACAAAAAGGAACATTGCCAGGCCGTCACCCCTTCGGAACTGGCCATTCTCCGACCAGGACCATTTGCAGAGGCACGGGCAACTGCATGAACTGCAGAGACGCAAGGTGTGACTAGAATAGCTAAGAGTTGTTCATGCTAACGACGTTAGTGACATCGTCCTGAAGCTGTCGAGGGGGGAGTGGGGAGGGGGAAGCGCTCCTTGCACGGGAAGACACATGGCTTCTGGCAGTCACTGTCAAGACTGGCCCATCGAAAGAGAGCGCGAGCATGTTTCTTCGTTCTCGCATGCCCGACGGAAAACGATGTCATTTCTTCAGTGGAAATTCACGCTTTGGAAACATATAGTTGCAGCTCTTGATTGCGCTCACGCGACGGCATGTTAGTCAGCGCCAAGAACGCATCATTTTTCTCGTGGGCCATTGCAGAAAGTGAGCTGGTTCTCACTGCAGGTCGTGTTTACAAGACCATCTTGATCGCAGAAGCGCTACAAACAGAATGACCACATTTTTTCTCAATTGGGCAGGAAAGACGACACATAGGGCTGCAGCAATCAAGTTGGTCTTATTTTGTGACGGCAAAACCAGGTCGTCGAGTTTATCATGCTATATAAACGCAACCACCCGGTGGAAGCATGCATGCAGATTCCACTGCATTAAGAATGCTTTTGACGTGCTAGTGGACACTTGCAACACCTCTCGAGTCAACGTCGCCGTTATCTTGTTTATAACAGCCACGACATCGCTGCCGAGCAAGAGGTGATGAAAGTTCATCCTCGGCCGTGGAGCTACTGCCGACGATATGCAGAGGTCTTTGTGAAGCATTTTGGCTGCAGGCACATGGAGTGTGCAGGTGTTGGAACCAGCGAAATTTGTGCCAATAATTCCTGCAATAAGAGAAGAACTGCTCAAAGTACTTGTTGCCAGGGATGACTTGGATTTGCAGGTCTTGCTCTGCCAGAGGTGTCAGAAAGAGCAGGATTGCGGCATTTTTTAATTTTGTCCTTGCTGGAGGAGCTTGCCTAGTTTGCTTCCAGGGTGAAGTTGCTGGGATGTGGTCCTTGACAAGATTTTCACCAACCTATTGTTGCCGCGTGTTGAATCACTTTGTAGAGCCCAGGCATCTGAACCAGATCAATCACAAGCTGCTCACCGATGTCCTCTTGGCATATTTGGACTCACTGCATTCTGCATCCGGCATACTGCATCTTCACTTAGGTCATTGTCAATGCGGACCTCCTGGAAAGCCAAGTGTGGAGCTGTGACAGAGACTTTGACGTCGGGGCCTTGTTCGAGAGATTCGGCACCTTGCCTTGCCGTTTGCACCTTGTTCTTAATTTTGTTGCAGGAAGCGAGCCGATCGATACCACCAGCAGCACTGGTGTGGCAGCTTGGTTGAATTACTGAAAGCTGCACGACACGACTTTTTCCTGAAGGGGAGAAACGTCTGGCCCCTCCTTGCTTTGGCTCCTCATGAATGCACCCCCCTATGCAAGCACAGCTCCAAGCAAGATTGGGTTCCTTCCACATGCAAGGTCTCCTGACAAAGAAGTTGACAGAAAAGAAGAGGAAGAAGTTGACGATGATCCTACAGTACCAGACGAGCGTGGACAGACGCTGTTTGGTACTTGACTGCAGCTTTCCTAGTGGCGAGGCTTCTGCACGATCTATTTCGCGGTTTTGAGAACTGGAAGATGGTAACTGGGAGGACCGGATGAGCATTGCAGGATCTCGGGAGATTGAGGCCTTCCTGACAATTGAACTCTTGGAGAGAGTTTGCAAGTTGCACAGAGCACGGCGGTGCCACGCAGGTGCTGTGGACAAGGGCGCACATGCGGAGAAGCGGATCTGACGCCATCAGTGCTATTTTTTTGTCACAGGTTAATGGGCAGCCAAGTCCCACAAGGATTCAAAAGTGCAACTATTGTGCAAGCACATGTCACGCACACAAACACACAGACACACATGCCCACCCATACCCCTCCATGCCCCGCTTTCTCCAAGCACACCTGAATTTATTGCATTGACGTTCACTGCAACTAGCAGAATCATGACCCCTAAGCATACCAGAGTTTCACCTTTTCAGAAGTGCTGGCGGCCAGAATACTGGCACTCCAGAGTTGTCACCCACAGAGATCACATGGTTTCGGGAGGGTGACACAGATTTGAAACATGGTCTTAGTGCATTGAGACAAGTAGTCCTTGCTTTTGCGCTTTCGGGATTCGTGGCACCCTCACCGCTTACCTGCGCTGTGCTGCCAAAGCACCACGGCGTTACCAATTAAGTGTACCCAGTGGCATGGCGATTGCGGACAAAAGGTGCTGCCGAAACATTCACCAAGTACGGCTTCTCGTGAGTACCTCCTGAATGGAGCTGCACTTTGGGGACTATTGATTTTGAGGCTGTCAGCGTTGGCAGGGTTGAGAGGAAGATTTCCATGGAGAGCCTACGGGCCCTTTGTTTTGGCAGCCTTGTGCCATCTTTAGAAGCTCGGCAGAGACTGGCGATATAACTGCCTGCTGTCGGCATTGACGCATTCTTTTGATTTGTGTGTTTGTTGATGTGTCTTGCTGTTTGAGTCTGGGGCTGTGAGGTCAGGCAAGTCATGACATTTGCGCGTTTGCTGCTTGTGATCCAGCATCCAGCCATAGATGGTCATGTGTAGGTGCAGCAAGATACCACATTTGGATTTTTCGGGACATGTGAGCGGCGGGCGCCATTGGTCAACGAAGACACCATGCTTGTTTCATCGCTTCTTTCCATTTTCGTGGTCATAGAGTTATAGTGCTCATGCGCAAGTAGCAGATTTGCAAAAACAGAAAATAACTTGAAGCTCCCGTCCAAGAATATCAAGCCCCGCTCATTTTGATGACAGCGTGGCCCATCCGCAGGATTTCTGTCAGCAAGGCAGTGTGGTGAATGTATGCTTTTCTAGAATCGGGCTCTCAGGATCGTAAATTGCTTCTCATGTAGACTGGATCTGCGGCCGGGCTATGTCTGCCATTCTTGGCTCTGTCTGTCTGTCTCTCGCTCTCTCGCACAGAGGAAAGCCGAAGAAATACTATGCTGTTAACCTGTTCAGGCAACGCTGCAATCTTTGGTCAACCAAATTAGGTTGCAAGCTTGGTCAGAAGTCCGCTGGAAGAACAGTCATGCGTCAGGCATGTGAGATGGAGTCAATCACCCAAACAACCAGCAATTTCAACAACTCGCACCGTGCGCCCCCCGGTGCTCTTAAGCTCCAAGTCATGGCGCCGTCTCCCGCGGAGGCGGGGCAAGGGAATGCCCTTCAAACCAGGTGTTGTTTGTGATTCATGTCTTTCTCAGGTTGGAAACTGTCAACATTCGCACCCGGTTCTCATGTGAGGATCATTCAATGTCCCGAAACCATAGCTGAGTTGCCCTATGGGTTGCCCCACCTGGCAGCCTTTGTCTCCATGTTCCTGTCATGATGTTCATGGGACCAGTCACTTCCATGTCGACGGATTTTGCCGCGCAGACCTGCTGCCTGTCGTGTTCACTGCTACAGGGAGCATCGGCCTAACCCAGAAAGCAGCAAGATGGTTGAGCTTGCAGCGGATTCGACTTGCCAAGGTCCAAGTGATTTCAACCTACACAGTTGCGACTTGCCCTGCATGTTTGCTGGTTGGAACACCAGAGCTCAAGGAGGTGACAACTTCTCGGTCTGTGGTTTTGAGAGATGAAATCAAGAGATGCCTGCTTGGAGCATGAAGTTGCATGCCCGAGGTGTTCGGCAGCTTCAACATGCTTATTGTGCTGATGGGAGGGTGCGCAACATGCTGCATGTCATTGTTTCCTTTGTTCGGTCCTTTGAGCAGAGGGGAGTAAGTGTTCATGAAGAATCACAGAACATTCCGACATTCCAACATACAAAGCATCGGGTTGGCAAGGCACCTCTTTTGTGGAGGCCGAAGAATGTGGAAACCCATTCCGTGGTGCTTGCCACGGTGGAGTTCTTGCGAATGCTCGAGCCCCGGAGGCTATGCTGTTTGGCTGGTGGCTGAGTGGCGTGGTGGCTTGTTTTTTTTTCTTCCTAGAGCGGAAAGGGATGACACGCCGAGGATGGTGCACACATTTGCACTCTTTGCTGGCTTCAAGGGCCTCATTGGAGTGCTTCTCAAAGATGTGGCGGGGAAGCCTTGTATTGCACAGCGGCATTTGCGTGGATGCAGGTTCTTCACAAGTTTCTGTGCCGTCACAGCTATTGTCACTGTTTCCGCAGCTTTGGTCGACAGCTTAAAAGCGGCTCTTGCCCATGATTGCGTAGAGTTGCGTTCCCAATGGGTGCGTCATGCTCCGCCGGCATTCGCAAAGCCATCATGGGCGGTGGCTCGCACAAGGTTTGCGTGTGTGGGGGAGCTGGGGGCATTGGCCAGCCGCTGTGCTTGCTGATGGCCATGGATCCCAATGTCAGAGAGCTCTCCATCGTTGACTTGAACGTGGCAATGGTGCCACCGGATGGAGTTGCCAAGGATCTGGGCCACATTGAAAGCAAGGTGAAGGTGACTGGGTATGTGATGGAAGTGGGGACTGCTCCCAAGGACAGCTTGGAAGATTGCCTATCGGGCTGCAGTTTAGTGCTTGTCCCCGCTGGGATGCCGCGGAAACCTGGAATGACTCGCGATGACCTCTTCAAAGTGAATTGTGACATCGCGAAGGGTATGGTAGAGGCCTGTGCAAAGTTCTGCCCACAAGCAGTCGTCGCCTTGATTGTAAATCCAGTGAACTCTATTGTCCCGGCCATGGCTGAGCTCTACAGCAAGGCCGGTCTGGACCCTTGGAAGATTGTGGGGGTGACGAGCCTCGACTCGGTGAGGGCCAACAAGTTTGTGGCTGACCTGACCGGGTGCCACCCCAGCAATATAGAGGTGCCAGTGATTGGAGGGCACGCGGGAGTGACCATCCTGCCTGTCTTCTCGCAGGACCCAACTTCCGCCTGCCTTGCTCCCTCCAAGATCGAGGAACTGGACAAGCGAACGCAAGATGCCGGCACGGAGGTGGTGCACGCCAAAAACGGCAAGGGTTCAGCCACCCTATCGATGGCCTATGCAGGTGCACGCCTGGGCAGGGCCGTCCTGGCGGGGATGTCTGGCAGACCTACCGTGGAGTGTGCCTATGTCAAGTCGGACGTGACAGACCTGCCATACTTTGCATCTCAAGTTCTGTTTGGGAAAGGCGGCGTGAGCAGGGTGCTGCCGATCGGCCAGCTCAATGACTACGTACCTTGAACGACTAGACCATTTTTCTTGCACAAGTTGTTTGGTAAACCGCAAAACTTATATAGTTTTATTCTATCCCACCCTTCAGCAGTCCCAGGAGAAGAGAAGATTAAACGAAGCCACAGCTGCCTGGCTTTAAGTTGTGCTTGTTGTGTATGCTTATGACCGGAAGGCATGGCTTAGCATGTGCTTTCGCCGCATTGCCTGGGCTTGGCAACCAAGGTCCAATTGAAGACCGAAATCAACACTGGCCTGCGTTATGCAAAGGATGCAAAATTCGCCAATTGAGTTTCACGCATTTTTCTGAATTGTTTCAAGGCCACTTGATTAATCAGTCTGATATACATGTCAAAACTTCGGCATGGAGTTTTCCATTGAAGGCCAAGATGCATTGAATGAAAGAACAACATTTAGTCTTTCCCCAAGCTCTGATTTGCTCGAGAGCAAACATTCGATGTGTCGGCTCTGTAAGATTTGCGTTGCGAACACGCACCAGCCAATTCCAAGGATCCGCCTCTCTGCGGTGAAAGCAAACCACGGCATTTGATGCTGCAAAAGACCCAGCAAAAAGGGCAACGCTTGCCGGCGCTGGCTCGGCCATACACTGCACCAGGGCATATGGATCACTAACGCGAATGGCAGAGACGCACAGGAGCGGCTTCGCGTTCTGCTGCTTTACCATCTATGCTCCCTGGTCCTTCTGTGCCTTCAGCTGGTGGTCGTCTTTGTGAAGGCAATGGCAACTCTTTGGTTGGCAATGGCAGACGCAATGGCAGACCTGTCGGACTGCAGACCTGCAGTCGGACTGTCGGACTTGTGAGATCCAGCCAGCCACTCTCTCCAGGGCTGCCAGGAGCTGGAGATGCTGCAGAAGCTCCACAGGCAAAAGGAGGTGCAGCCAGGGGCTCAGCGCAGACAGAATGCGCATTTTGGAATCGAACCCGCCAAACAATAGCAACCTGAGCAACCTGCAGAGATGTCTAGAAGGGAAGCTTTGGAATCACCTAGTGGGGCGGGTGCCACATAACTCATGCACACTGGAGCAACCAATACGCTTGTTTGAAGCAACATGCTACATCAATGGGCGACTGGCACCATTCAGGAGGGTGGACTGCAGCACGTACCAGGCTTTGCACAGATGCAAATTTTCCAGAAGCTTGCGGAAAGTTTGCAGAAGCTGCCAGGCGCAGTTGTTTGTGAGCTACATGCTGGAAGCAGGCAAGTATTGCAAGGTTTGTTGGCTAACATGTATTGCAGTTTGGCAAGCTATACATACTATACATAGTTGTGCCATGTTGTGCCTTCCTCAGGTTTGATGAGCTACTTTGCCTTCATCATTTGGAGCTTGATCGTGCGGATAGAGGCGTGTAGCCCTCTGGGGACCGTTTTCTTTCCCCTGAGAAGTGGCAACACATTGGCTCAGGCTGGAGAGCTCGGCGAGCCGTCGCTTCTAAGAGAACAGGCTGGGCACTGGAAGAGCAAAGGGACGAGCAAAGGGTATACGAAAGGCGTGCACTATGAGCCCCAGGAACTGGCAGATCGAGCACTGGGTGATCCCTGGTGCGCAATGCGCAGCTGATTGATATCGATCAAGTCATGGTGACAGTATGATCTTGTTCAGGCTCTTTGTGCATGCACCTGGCGGTGAATCAGCATCCTTTCTGCGTCATGTCCCATGCCTAAAGAATCAGAGCAGCAGACACAAGACAGGTTTGGATTCTGTGCCTGTCAGGAAAGAGCTGCCTGGACCTTGGGTTGCCACCCTTTGCCAAACATGAGTTCACGCAGCTGAGGCTCCCACACCCTTTTCTGGCATCCCGCGTAATCTGGATGAGCAGATGCCAGATGCTGCACAGGCTGGCAAGGTTGCTGACAGCTTTCCTTTTCGCCTTTCTCGACTTGCCAGGCAGCTCCACAAGCACCAGCGCCATTTCAGGGAACTCCATACCGACTGGAGTGATCCCCGAGAGTGAAGCCGTGTGATATCTAGCAAGTGCCCATTTCAATTGTTGCTCCTCATGTTTTATTAGAAGCTGGCAAAAGAGACGGACTTTTAGTCTACACCGCTTGGCAGCATGCATTTGTAGCTCCCAGCCTCAAAGATGGGTTTCACTCAGTCGCTTAGCATAATCTGACGTAGTGCACCCCAGAATCTCAGATTGTTGGCCACAAAGCGCTAAAACTGCAAGCAGTGAGTGGCGTGACGTTTCCACTAATGAAGCTCATTACTTGCTGACCGGAGGTGGAGCAAGAGCTGGAATCCGATGCTTTGGAGCTCAAGGTGGCAAAAGCTAAACATCACCCATATGCACTATGTACTTGAGCTTGTTACATGTGCCCTTGTGAATAATTGCCCGAAGTCCAGACAAGTGACCATTAGACGAGGATTTGTTCAAATATTCCGGGTATGGAGCTGCGAGGTCCGTTGGCCATTTCCGTTGCTTGCACAACTTGGAGTCAAAGAATCACAAACAGCCCTGGTGGTGGCGTAGCTGCAGCTTGAATGGCTTCTGAGGCAGGCAAGAAACGGTTCACCGTGATTTCAATCATTGGGGCAACCTTTTTACTGATTGCCCAGTGTCAGCTCACAGGCATAATGTACCGTTGTTTCATGTCAGGTCGCTGTACTTGGCACACATTTGTTTTTGCATCATATTCGACAGCACTATTAGTAGGTCACAGTCGCAGTGCTCAGCTTCTCCAAAAGCCCTTTCAGCTGTTAGACAGAAACATGTGTTGTCATGCTAGATACACGCAAGGAGTATGGTAGAGGTAAGCTGCACAGGACCACACCAGAGCAATGCTTGAGGCATGTTAGACACAAACTAATGCTAGACACACTAGGCATATGATAGCCGGCAGAAGATGGAGCCCCACTGACTCAGCCGCTGAACTGAAGCTGGGCAAACACTAGACATGTGCTAGACTTGTGCTACACAGATGCAACACATGCGCCAGGAACTATAAACACACACACCCACACATTTAGCAGATGCTAGCCATGCGTTGGATATTTGCCGAGAAAAGTATTTTTGCTTGTCATGTGCCAAACGTGCATGTATATATATATATATATAGTACATATACATGGCATGCATGCATGCATGCATGCATGCATGCATGCATGCATGCATGCATGCAGCCATTCTGCATATGTAGCCCCACTGCCCCCTGCCCTGCAAAGCGACAGGCATATCATGTGTGCATATAAGATATTACCAATGTGTCACTACAATTGTCTGCTCAATGTCAGCGCTACTTTCACGTGATTTGTTCAAAGAGTGTTCACCTTTTCGTTGCAAAGTTGGACTGACTCAGAATCTACATAATGGAGTGTAACTAAGCAAGCTTGGCAAAGACATGTCAACTGTCAATGCAGATGCAAGATGTGCTTGTTTTCACAAAGGTCCGACATCTCAAAGTCGGAATGACGCCTGTTTTTCAGATCTTCCAGCATCAAGAAACTTCCACAAGTGATCGAAACTTGGCGTGGTTCAATGTCCGTAAAGTTGCAGCAAGCTGCAGGGAGCAGAATCGTTCTCAGTTTTGACAATCCGATACGAAAGCCTCAACACCGGTTTGGTCAAGACAACGAGGCTGAATTATCTCTAGTTTGGACATGATTTGCTAAGACAAGGGCAAGAGCATGATGGCTCCTGGGATAAAGCAAACTGTATTGAAGATATGCCAGCTGCATGCTGGACACTTGCTAGGAGTATAGAGATACACCAGACCACATGCCAGACGAAGGCCCAACAAATGCTAAGCACAACATTTGCTACACATGATCAGACATAAGCAAGCCACATGCTGAACATTCGATGGAGCTCAACTTAACCAAAGCTAGACACATACTTGGCATATGCTTGACAAGTGGTACACACACACACACTTGCAACAAATCCGTAGGAGCCAGATAGACATATGTTGAACAGATGATGCCAGCTCAGCCATATCATAGACATTTGCTGAAACTAGGCTCAGACGAAAGGAGCAATAGCTTGGAGGATATGTTTGTCGCAGTTGCTAGGAATACACATGGGCTAGACATGCATAACCATGCTAGGAATGTGCAACCAAATCATGTGCACATGTTAAACACATGCTGGACATATGGAGCTGCTACAAACAAGCTTTTCTCGAGGGAGATGTTTATGCAGTCGGGTCGGAAACCGTCAGTGCGAAACCCACGTTTTACACACTCCCATGTTTCGCACTCTTCGCAAGCGAGTGATCCCTTCCAACACATGGTCAGCACCCCCGCCCAAGTGATCCCTTCCGTTGGAGAGTACCCGGTCGGAGTCTGGTGACAATGTCCATTGATCAGGGGCAAAAAAGAATCACAAAAACCCGAAACATTTTGGGTCCCCAGAAATCTGTGTTTTTGGACCACAGAAGCTGGCGGCGGCCAAAAACATTGAGTTCCCATACGAAAACGCTGCGCAGCATTCAAGAAAGGCTTCGTAGCAAGACCAAAAAACAAGGCGAAACCGAGGTGCCCGATTCCTCACGCCTGCCAACGTTTTCAATAAATGGTAACGCTAGAACGACCGTGCGCGGGAAGCGTTTTTTGCTGTTGAAAACGAGTAAAAACGCTAGGCGAAACGCAAATTCTGGTCAAAAAGGACCGACGGGTAACGACCCGGCGGCATGTTTATGCTCGCTTCCCTCCTATGCCTTTTCCCTGTTTACACCATAATATGTTCTTTCCTTTTTATGTTTTCTTCAGTTTTGTAGTTCTGCAACAAGAAGAGTTTCAGTTGCTATAGCTAGCAAATTCCTTGAACGCTTGATACTTTTGTGCTGTGATGACACTTGTAAGGATTGCACTGTGGACATGTGCGGCAATCCGAACAAACTTTGACAGGAGCCTCCCGCCCACGCACACAGACACAGAGACACACTGTTGTGTGTGTGTGTGTGTGTGTTGGCTGCTTGTCCTGCGGCTCATCAAGGGGCTGCAAAATGAAGAGTGCGCTGCCAGTGGCGATCTTGTGATCTCAAGCCAGCGACGGCACAGGTACACCAGGTACAATGGAAAGAAAGGGGTGGTGACCGCTGGTCCATGGAACGCTGGTCCTATGAGGTCAGCGGAGCAAGAAGCACTTGTTACTTTTAAGCAGGTGACCATTCAAGAGGAAGGTGGCTATGACAGCGCCAAGGTGTAGCGCAGACTTTGACGTTGCGATGCCGAGATGCCGAGTGAGACTCATTCAGGTGTTGGCATTGAAGCCGTCGAACTTCCAGCTGGATTTGGATGCCTTACAGGCTGTGTCAGTTTGTGCCAGTTTGGCTTTGGTGCATCGGACTTGAATAGGAGTACGTGAAGCAGAAGAGGATAGAGAAAAGGCGAGATCCTCCCTTACAGGACTGTGGCAAACTTGCGCGCTAAATACTTACAGGACATGTTTGTCTTAATGTTTCTTTCTCTGGAAGCCTCATGAATCCTAGTCCATGAGGACGAAAGAGCGCAATTCTCCTTGGCGGCGTTTCTCTGCTCTGGCTGACTCCACCTAGTACAAAATCTTCCAAAGATCAACTAATTCAGATTTAACTCTGGTTGACATTGACTTCCGGAGTCCCTCACCTTCTCTAGACATGATAGACATGAGTCCCCTCCCGAACTGCTGTGAGAGTTAGGCGATCCACTTCTTGGAGTTTTCCTTTTTCCAGATGTAGACCGCAGCTTCACGAGCCTCATCATTTTCCGCGCAGCTTCCTGACACCATGGGCTAGTTCCCCCCAAAAGGCTGACCTCACGTGAGTCATGCTCAGTTGGAACATAAGTGCACAGCGGTGGACTATCGACGTTGGATTGGCTTTGGGGGTAGGGTTGCCATGTTCGGATTGCAAGCAGTTGCTGTTGCCAGGGACAGTCGGAACACGTACTCAGAAGACTGGCTCAAGAGTGTTGCTCAGGAGTTGCGTTTGGAACCGTGAGTGCAGTTCAAAAGCGGTAGTGTAAAGTTCTGCTTAGAGGGCTCTTTAAGAATCAATGCTTAGAAGCGCCGTGCCTAAGTTATGCTGGAGAGTGCCATCCAGTGGCGCGATAGGTTAGTCGGATGCGTGTCCGCTAAAAGCGTCGCGCGTGCATTTCGCTTGTGAGTGTTTCTCAGAAGTCAAGCATGACATGCAAAAGAGCTCCCGAGGATTGCTCGGAAGTGTCTCTCAGGAACTTTGCAGCTATCTAGCTGAGAAGTGAGCCAAACCAGTTGCTCAGAAGTGGCTCAGATGTGTCAGTGAAATGCGCTGCTGAGAAGCGTGGATTGTTTTGCAAGATATTGCCAGGATCTTGTAGAATATTCTAAGCCAGGAGTATAGCGGAGGGTTTCTTTTGAAGTTTCGTTGAGAAGTGTCCTGAAGTTTCACCCAGCGTTTCCGAAGGTGTCAAGAAGGGAAGCGAGCATAAACATGCCGCCGGGTCGTTACCCGTCGGTCCTTTTTGACCAGAATTTGCGTTTCGCCTAGCGTTTTTACTTGTTTTCAACAGCAAAAAGCGCTACCCGCGCACGGTCGTTCTAGCGTCACCATTTATTGAAAAAGTTGGCAGGCGTGAGGAATCAGGCACCTCGGTTTCGCTTTTCTTGGTCTTGCTACGAAGCCTTTCTTGAATGCTGCGCAGCGTTTTCGTATGGGAACTCAATGTTTTTGGCCGCCGCCAGCTTCTGTGGTCACAAAAACACAGATTTCTGGGGACCCAACATGTTTCGGGTTTTTGAGTTTTTTTTTCTCCCCTGGCTCGTGCCGTGAACATAATGCTGACCATGTGCTGGAAGGGATCACCTGGGCGGGGGTACTGACCATGTGTTGGACGGGATCACTTGGGCGGGGGTGCTGACCATGTGTTGGACGGGATCACTTCCATGTTGGACGGGATCACTTGGGCTGGGGTGCTGACCATGTGTTGGATGTGCTGGAAGGGATCACTGGGGTGCTGACCATGTGTTGGACGGGATCACTTGGGCGGGGGTGCTGACCATGTGTTGGACGGGATCACTTGGGCGGGGGTGCTGACCATGTGTTGGACGGGCTCACTCGACTCGGGCGGGGGTGCTGACCATGTGTTGGACGGGATCACTTGGGCGGGGGTGCTGACTATGTGTTGGAAGGGATCGCTTGGGCGGGGGTGCTGACCATGGTGTTGAACGGGATCACTTGGGCGGGGGTGCTGACCATGTGTTGGAAGGGATGACTCGCTCGCGAAGAGTGCGAATGGGAGTGTGTAAAACATGGGAGTGTGTAAAACGTGGGTTTTGCACTGACGGTTTCCGACCCGACTGCAAGAACATGTTACAACGTGAGATTCTGCATTCAAAATGAAAGGAGCTGCATGCAACTTGTAGTGGGGGATTACTGAAATGCTTCCAACTCCAGCCCTATGCTGAGCGTTTTCTGCCCTGTTATGTTTTCGGGATATCTTCCATTCATGGTGGGTGGGTTTGACAGACCACAAGTGCGCTCAGCAGTCCGCGCAACAGTTGTTCAAGATGCTTAGGAATGTGACTTGGCAGTGACACTGTGTTTCACCCATGTGTTTGATGGTGCCGTCCCAGCCCCCCGAATGCAGCGCGTCTCAAAGTCTGGCTCAGAAGTCTTGTTCATCGGTCAAGTGTTTTTGTCGGTCAAAGGTCCAGACATGAATCGTATTACCCTAGCAGCCTTCACGCAGCGGAAGCTTAGGAGACCATGGTTGTGCAAAGTGTTCACGAATCTGGCTTGGCGCGGGCTGCTCCTTCATGCACCTTTCCCCCAACAAAATTTCACTAAAAGCTGAACTCGCGCCAGCTCAACTGAAAAGCCAAATGCCTTGCCGGCTGTCAGCTCAAGCTCCATTGCTGTGCCCAGGACCTGGCGGTGCTTTGGGCCAAGGGCAAGGGGCTGTCTGCGAAAAGCCTTATCTGTCAGAAGCAGAAGGTGAGGATATGCTCCCGCCGCAAGCCATTGGAGCACTTGCTGGGGCCTGCCTCATTTAGACTAACATGCTCATTTTGAGTGCAACGTTTGCGTGACATCACTGCTGATATAGTTTGTTGATTCAAGAAGATGGCTGCAAGCTAAACTCATGCCATTGCGGGATGCCCATGTTCGCAGCTCCACACGCTTGTCGGCGGCCGGGGAATCGGCTTGGTGCTTTGTGAAGGTGAGAGAGCTGGACCAGGGCGAAGTCTTGCTTCGCGTCAAGAGCTTACGGCCAGGATGGTTTTTCTGGCCATCGTTTGTGACGTCAGGTGGATAAATTTGCCTTTAGCCACATGGCGCTGGGCTACCTGATGAAAGGCAGGACATCAGTGCACAAGGTAGAGAGCCTTTCTGTATGGTGGAAGAGGCTTTACCCGGACCTTTGGCGCCTACCACAATTTCTACAGATGCCCTGAGGAGCTAGCGATCTTTCGGCACGGCTTCGATGTGTAAATTCCTTTACTGGTCCATTGTTGTTTGGCTGCATTGTTCATTGCGTGGGGCACAGGAGAATTTGTACCGATCCGCATGCTGGGGCTTTGCCACTGTTATGGAGTCAACGCACCCCAAGGCCATGCGTGTTTGTGGCATTAGCGCTTGTAGTTGTGGACAGCCAAGCCATGGCTGCTTTCACCCAATCGAGATACCCACCCGCTTTGGATGACGCTTCGGCTCTAAGCCAATGGTAAATGCCGCAAACGGCATCGCTTGAACAAACACAGCACATGCCAAGCCGTTCAGCCGGTGAACATGTCCCACACCTCTGATTTGATTTTGAGTGCCCTTGTCACCTCTAGAAGTCAAATTCTGAAACAGAGCAGTCATCACCGGCTGGTATTTGGATAGAGGAAGCGAGTTTAGCCACTTGACGCTGAGGAGCAGGTTCGCGTGCTCGCATCAAAGCGCTGTACAGTCTTGACATGTAGAAAGCCCTGTGCTGCTTCAAGTGCTTGCTATTCCAACCACAGCAAAGCCCAAGCAACTCACAGCTCGTTTTAACGCCCCCTGGGCCGCTTGCGCTGCTGACAGCATGGCTGCTGACAAGGAGGCTCTAAACTCACATGCAAATACTTTGCTCGTCATCTTTCAAATCAAATACTTTGTGAGTTGCTTCTGTTGCTTCCCGCCTTCTTGCAGGCAGCTGGTGCGAAGAATGCCACCTCCTTCTTCAAGGGGCTGCCGCTGACTCACGAGTTGCATGCGTTCGGAATTGGCTCCCCTGAGCATGGCGTGAGTTCGTGTGTCCAGAGGGAGCTCCCTGAAGGCTACGTGCTCACCCTCCCAGGATCACCATGCTGTTCCATGTGCTTTGCGCTTCTGTTTCTTTTTGATTGAAGTTCATCATTTTGACCTTCCCGAGTTTGATTGGCGACCTCATTTGATTTGATTTGCATATCTCATGATTTTTCTCGGTCCAATGGACCACTGAGCACCAGAGCCACTTCATTTCCATAGTATGATACTTTGGCACAACATGGTTAACTAGGTTTTGGGCATGCCTTGTGATTTCAGCTTCACTAAGGCAAGGCAACACTTCGCACAGAGGATCCATTCAGGACGGGACTTTTTTCCATAAGCTCATGCGCGCGAGGGTGTCTGTCTGTCTGTCCGTGTGCGTGTTTTTTGGAGGGTACCGTGAAGCCAAGAGCAAACCACCCACTCTGGGGTTCCCCAGTTTTGAGACACCCATGCGGAGCAAAGCTGGCCAGGCAACCATGCCCATGCAGCTGGAGGCGGTGTTGGCAAAGCGGGAGAGGGCGGAGAAGGAGCACATGCCTGCTCGACCCCCGCACGTCTTTGTCGACGGCGTTTACGTCAGAGGCTGGGGCGTAGTTGGAAATCGGGTTCTCAGAATCTTGGTTCCTCCAAGAGACACGAAGCGCAGAACACACATCCACATAGGCTATCCATTTACGCATACAGCGCACGTGTTGACAGGGCCAGCGGATCCGAAGCAGAAGCCCCTGCTACGGCACGTGATTGTGAAGGACCTCAACAAGGAGCGGCTCGGGCTTGTGAATCCAAAGGGCTTGGCAAACTTGGCAGGTGGCCACGCAGCTCAAGTATGAGGTCCCGACCAATGGCCTTTTTGCAAAGACACTCGGACGTTTCAAGGCCCGTGGTCTGCTTGAAGCCTCGCTGGCGCCAGGGCCATGGGCAAACGGCGTCACATCTTTTGTGCCCCAACGCAGTTTCTAGAGTGAGGCAATTGCTTTCTTCTTTGTTATGCTTGAGGATTGGCAATGACCCACCTCCCCAACGTGCCTCCTCTCATGGGTTCCAGACTTATGGGTTCCAGAAAGATTACAGGATCAGATGGTATTGGCTTTAGTAGTTTCGGGCACAAGTGTCCAGAGTCCAGGGTTGTGATGAACTTGGGCAGGCAGTAGCACCCTCACATAACACCTCACGTAATCTGGGGGGTGCGGGGGAGGGGGGTGTCAACATTGCCACCAATTCATTGACACGGGGGTGTGGTACACAAGCGCTCCATTTATAGGTTGTTGGAGAACAATAGGGACTGCCAAAAACGACACCCTGCAAGTGTGGGGTGTGATTTACTTGTATTGCTTAGTTCCTTCCCTAATGTGAGCTGCCCGAGCTATCCCTGTGGCTGAGCGGCTTTGGCTCGATGCGCGCGGGGCGGGGGCGGGGTGGTGGAGTCGGGGGTGGAGACGGGGGTGGAGACGCGGGTTAGAACTTGAGGGTCCCAGATGGGATGCTGCTACTGCTAGTGCACCTTGCAAAACTGGGGACGAAATGGCGGTCCAATTTCCCAAACGCGGTAACGATACCCCTAACGATACTTGCCAATTCTTATATCACTGGCTGATAGCCCTAGCTCCGCATAGAACAGAAGTCGTGCACAAAAAGCGGCGATTGCAGTTAGTCAAGGTTGACTTTTTGAGGCAAGCTCCGGACATGCAGCCATACCCGTGTCGCGATACTTGTACATGCCCGGAACACTCCTGTGCTGGAAGACGTCAGGGGACTGCCTAAAACAAAAGTGACTACACCGTGAATCGTTTTGACCGTAGCTCACATGTCCTCGCGGGACCGATTTTTCCCGAATGCGTAGCATAGGGATCTTGTTTCATCTTGGGGTCTGCTGTGCGCGAATCGTAGCTTCTCAAGCTCGACGTGTCGTTTCGCTGCGCAGGCGCAGTGTTTTGGAAGGCTGCGTGCTCTCGTTGCCGTGCCAGCGATTGCCTTGAGGTGTCCTGCTTGGCAGGCGCGTGATAGTGTTTGCGCCGGCGTCCTTTTCGCTGCCCTGTCGTACAATCGCCTCGTTTTGGCGAGCTTGAAACGTGTCAAAGTTGGTCGATATCATTCTGGCGCCGCAGCCCCGTGCTAGTTTTGGCTGCGTGTCGTAAACGTGTCAAAGTTGGATTTCGTGGCAGGTCCAGCAGTTTGGATGATTTTGAGTTTGTGGCAAGCTTGCTTTGCGCGACAGGCGCAGCACTTTCGAGCGTTTTGCTTGAATCTGGTGGCAGGCGCGGCACTTTGGAGCTTTTCGTGCAACTTTGGTGGCAGGCGCAGTACTTTCGCGCCTGGGTGAAGATTTCGTGGCAGGCAAGTCACTTTGACTCAGCAAGATTGCTCTCGCTGTGGCGCGGCGCACATTTTGAGAACGCGAAGCGAACCCTCTGGGTGGGTCGAATCGCTCTCGCATTTTAAGTGCGGCTGGGTACTTTGACTCAGCGAGATCGCCTCGCTGTGGCGCGGCGCACATTTTGCAAACGCGAAGCGAACCCTCTGCGCATTTCGGGTGAGTCAAATTGCTCTCGCTGTGGCGCGGTGCGCATTTTGAGCATGCGAAGCGAACCCTCTGCGCACTTTGGTTGAGTCAAGTCGCTCTCGCTGTGGCGCGGCGCGCATTTTGAGCATGCGAAGCGAACCCTCTGCGCACTTTGGCTGTGGCGCGGTGCGCATTTTGAGCATGCGAACTGAACCCTCTGCGCACTTTGGATGCGTCGAATCGCTCTCGCTGTGGCGCGTTGCCATTTTGAGCGCGCAAAGTGAACCCTCTGCGCACTTTGAATGGGTCGAATCGCTCTCGTGTGGCGCGGTGCGCTCAGAAGTGTCGATCACAAGTGTCCATTAAAAGTGTCGTTCAGAAGTGTCGATTAGAAGTGTCGCTCAGAAGGATCGGTCGGAAGTGTCGACAGACTGTCAGAAGTGTCGCTAAGAAGTATCGGTCGGAAGTGTCGACAGAAGCGTTGCTCGGAAGTGTCGATCAGAAGTGTTGCTCAGAAGTGTCGATCAGAAGTGTCGATCAGAAGTGTTGAACAGAAGTGTTGCTCAGAAGTGTTGCTCAGACGTGTCCCTCAGAAATGTTGTCAGAAGTGTACTGAACTAGAACTGTTGATCAGATCAGAAGTGTGGATCAGACGTGTTGCTCAGAAGTGTCAGTCAGAAGTGTGGTTCAGAAGTATCGCTCAAAAGTGTCGCGCAAAAGTGTCAGTCAAAAGTGTTGCTCAGATGTGTCGCTCAGAAGTGTCGAACAGGACTGTTGCTTGGAAGTTTCGACCAGAAGTGTGCTCAAGAAGTGTTGCTCAGGGGTGTCGCTCATTGCTCAGAGGCGTCGCTCAGAAGTGTCGCTCAGGAGCGTCTCGAATTGTCGCTCAGGCAGCAGTGTTGCTGATTATGTGTGCCTCAGACGTGTCGCTTAAAGGTGTTTTCAGAGCGTCGCTCAGGAGTGCCGCAGTGTTGCCCAGAAGTGTTGTTCAGAAGCGTCGCTCAGAAGTGTCGCTCAAAAGCAACGCTTACATGTGTGTGTGTGTTTGCTCAGAAGGGTTCCTCGGAAGTGCTGATCAGAAGCATCGCTCAGAAGTGTTGCTCAGAAGTGTCGATCAGAAAAAGTGCGGTTCATAAGTGTTGATCAGGTGTCGCTCAAAAGTGTCGCTCGGAAGTGTCAATCAGAAGTTGTGCTCAGACGTGTCGCGCAGAAGTCTAGCACGCGCTGGAAAATCGCAACTTTGTAGTGCGAGTCTAGTGCGTGAAGTACAGGTTTCCAGCTCTGGCTAGAAAATCGCAACTTTGTAGCGCAAGTATAGCGCGCGAAGTATAGGTTTCTGGAAAATCACAACTTTGAAGTGCAAGTCTAGTGCACGAAGTACAGGTTTCCAACTCCAGCTCGAAAATCGCAACTTTGTAGTACCAGTCTAACGCGCGAAGTACAGGTTTTGAGCTCCAGCTCGAAAATCGCAACTTTGTAGTACAAGTCTAGTACTTTTTCAGCTCTAACTGGACAATCGCACCTGTGTGTAGCGCAAAGTCCGGCTGGAAAATCGCAACTTTCTAGTACAAGTCTAGCGCGCGAAGCGCAGGTGTCCAGCTCCAGCTTGAAAATCGTAGCTTTGTAGCAACAAGTGGAGCACGCAAAGTACAGTTTTACAAGCTGAAAAACATAGTTTGCGCAGTAGGCTTGATTGCGAGCCCCGTTGGCTTATACCGAAAAATGTTCTCTCTATTATTTTGTTGGGTTTGCGCAAAGTGATGTGCATTCGGGTTCGTGGGCTCCATCTTGTTTTCTGTATGCTCAAGGGCCGACTCGCCAGGATCGACCTG